TCCATATCTCTGTAGCTCAAATGGTCATTCTCATTTTAAATTTCCTGCTTGTAATCTTTGCAAAGCACTTGGCAGGAAAAGGATGATGCAGGGGTTTTCCAAGGGGTGGGGGGAGGGAGTCCAGTGGGGAGAGACCAATGTTGACAAGCATTTGAATGAATGTCCTGGGTAAGAGATTTGTTTAATCCCAGATCAGATTTGAGAATAAGAATATCCAGGATCCTGGACTGTGATTCCAAAGGAAGTCAAGACTTCCTTTTGCACAGCTGCCCTCTAAGAAGCTGGTATAACACAAGTATATCTCATTTCATGATGCTATCCCAGGGTGAAAAGCAAAGTACTGCACCTTTCAGATGTGAGGGTGATATCACTACCCCACTCCCCTCCAAAAAATAAGGTGCCATATCTGACATCCTGTCTGGTTGAAGCCACATCCTTAGAGATCAATTGAAATTATATCATCCCTTACCTTGTTAAGGTATCTTTCCTTTAAATGAAAGACAAGTGACCATTAAAAGTGAGTCCCAAAATAACCCAGTGGTTTCATTGCATTTGGAATGTCTGACATCCAGAACTGAGGAAGCAGATGTAACCTCCTCTGAAGGGGGAGGGTAGTGTTACCCTTCACACTGTGACCCTTCACTCAGTTACTCAATAGGGACAGCTGCCAAACTCACAGGAACTTCAAATCTAGACAATGGACTCTATTCCTTAGCAATTTATCAAATATTTGAAAAATTAGCCCCATCCTGAACAGTGTGAATTATAGGCAAAGGGGATTAATGAGAGTAAAAGCATTTAATAAGGAGCCAAAGTTCTCACTAGTGAATAGGAAATGCAGTATTACTAGAGAGTAGGAAAATGTAGTATTAAAATGAGGGGTGGCGGGGGAGTAAGGTGAGATTTCTTTACACGGAATAACTTCTATTTGCAGTAACTAGACATTTTTTATCTTGAGCTTCCCTTTCCCAATTAAAAATTTCACAATAAAATAATAAAAGCTCCTATGGTGTAAGGGGCAAATATGGACTTGTGTTTAAAATAAGATTCCTGGGCCTCCCTGGTAGCGCAAGGGGTTAAGCACAGCACTATGAAGTTATCCGCAGCTACTGCAGCACGAGTTCGATCCCTGGCCAGGGAGACACACACATGGCGCAGCAGACCTCTCCTGACTCGCCCGCTGCTCCCCTCAGCAGTGCATTAAAGTAGATCCGCTTGTTCTGTTCCCCAGTCTGTCTGTGGTGAATCCTCTCACCCCCCCCCCCACACCTCTGGCTTATACCCCAGATCTTGTATGCATAAATAAATTAAAAAAATAAGATTGCTAAATTGATAATATCACAAAGTTCACAGATTCTATAATATCAACTGCATGTGTGCGTCTGGCCAAGATAAACACAGGACTCCAGAGCAAAAACTTAAGTTGTTACTGAATGGTATATCATGAATGGTTTTCATGATCTTTTTTATACTTTTCTAGTTTTTCAACCCATATAAGAAACTGGTATTAGTCATCATTTTTAAAACCACAAAATTTGTGGGTTTTTAAAAAGACTTATTTTTATTTATTTATGCATACAAGAACTCAGGTACAGGCCAGAGTTGGGGGGGGGGAGCAGTGAGAGGATTCACCAGAGACAGAGTGGGGAGCAGAACAGGCGGATCTACTGAAATACACTGCTGAGGGGAGCAGCAGGTGAGACAGGAGAGGTCTGCTGCGCCATGTGGGTTAGCTCACTGGCTGGGGGACTGAACTCATGCTGCAGTGTTGGGTGATAGAGCTGAGACTTTAACCCCTTTGCCACCAGGGAGGACCTTAAAACCACAAAATTTGAACCAAAAACACAGAATGCTCAGGAGATGTAAATGTTTTAAGATGGGAAAGACCTATATCATTCTTTCAATCTTCAAAGCAAATCAGAACCAAAAAAAACCCCACACCAACAAAACAACCAAAAAACCCATTTTGGTCAATCTGTACTATTTTCTGGGAAATAAAAAGTTTTACCATGAATTTTTTTCTTGTAATTGTTTTCTTGAAGCGCAACATACATCCAGAAAAGTACATAGATCAAAAATAGAACATACTGTGAACAAGCACCCACATCAAGAAAGTCACTGTTCTCAGCACCCTGAAAGCTCTCTAGTCTCTCCTTCCCCTTCCTGTTATTCTCTTCCTGGAGGATAACCACTGTCCCAAGAACAAGTTTGCTAGTTTCGAACTTTGTGTGTGTGTGTGCACATGCACAGTATATCAGTATAGCACACGCACACACACAAATGCATACATATATATAATGTAGTGTAACTTTTTTGTGTCTAACTTCTACTCAAGAGATGTTGGTTGCATTCATGTTGTTGCAAGTCGCTGCAGTCTTTTTCACATGGCTAGAGAGTATTCCACTGAACAGAGGTGTGGGTGGTGAGAGGATTTACCAGAGACAGAGTGGGGAACAGAACAGGCAGACTGACTGAAATACACAGCTGAGGGGAGGTGGGTGAGATAGGAGGGGTCTGCTGTGCCATGTGGGTTGCTCCCTGGGCAGCTGGGGTATCAAACTCTTGTTGCAGAGACTGTGGACAGCTTCATAGGTTGCGTTTTAACCCCTCGCGCCACCAGGGAGGTCCAATTCAATGGTTTAAAGTAAATTTACAGTGGGGCCTCCCTGGTGGCGCAAGGGGTTAAAATGCAGCACTATGAGGCTGTCCGCAGCCACTGCAGTACGAGTTTCATTTCCGGCCAGGGAGATGACCCACATGGCCCAGCAGACCTCTCCTGTCTCACCAGCTGCTCCCCGGATATACATAGCAGTGTATTTCAATCTTCCTGTTCTGTTCCCCACTCTGTCTCTGGTGAGTCCTCTCACCCCCCACACCTCTGGCCTGTACCCCAGTTCTTGTATGCATAAATAAATCTTTTTTAAAAAAGTAAATTCACAGAGTTGTGTAACTATCCACACACTCAATTTTAGGACATTTTCATTACCTCATAGAAGACCCCCATATCCTTTAATGATAATTAAAGGATGATAATTCAACTTTATCACCACCTGCCCTACCAAGTTCTAAGCAACCACTAATCTACTTTTGACTCTAGAGATTTCTCTCTTCTGGAAATTCCATGTAAATGGAATCATATAATATGTGGTCTTTTGTGTCTGGTTTCTTTTATTTTGCAGTGTCTTCAAGCTCCATACATGCTGTAGCATGGATCAGCACTTCATTCTTTTTATGGCTGAATAATATTCCATAGTACAGATATACCACATATTGTTTATCATTCATCAGTTGATGATTATTTGGGTTGATTTTACTTTTTGGCTATTATGATTAATGTTGCTATAAACAATTCTGTACATGTTTTGTATGGGTGTGTGTGTTCATTTCTCGTGTGTACATAGTATGGAGTGGATTTGCTGCCAATTCTCTGTTTGACAATTTCAGAAACTGCCAGATTGCTTTTGAAAGTGTCCACACTATCTTACATTCCTATGATAATGTTCAAAAAAACTTTTTACATGTTGCTTTTAATTGAATTGGAATATATAAAATAAAAAACTCAAATAGTACCAAAGGCTAGAAAGTTAAAAGGAAACTCTTCACTATCTCCACACCTTCTCAGGGTGACTCCCCAGAGGCCACCACTGTGGACCATTTCTTTAGTGTCTTTCCAGAAATTTTCTGTCATTTATGTAAAAATATAGATTCCCCTAACAAATAAGATCACACTCCCTAGTGTTCTATTCTGTTCTTTTGTTTTCCTTTAACATAACACGTTTTGAAGATATTTCTATACCAGCATAGATAAATCTCTCCCATTCTTTTGAAAGACTGTATAGCACTTCTTGTATAAGTGCATTATTATCTACGTAATTATATGTTATAGCTTACTCTTTTTTTTAATTTTTTTATTTTAAAGTTTTTTTTTTTTAATAGAGGCATGTTTTATTTATTTATTTATTTACTTGTTTGTTTGTTTATACATGCGCTGGGTACAGTCAGAAGCGCGGGAGGGTGAGCGAATTCACCAGAGCCAGAGCGGGGAGCAGAGCAGGCAGAAGGACCGAAGTACACTGCTGAGGGGAGCAGCGGGCGGCAGGAGAGGTCTGCGGGCCATGTGGGACGTGGCTGGGGAGCAAACGGGGGGGGGGGGGGGGGGGGGGGGGGATTGAACCCGTGCTGCAGAGGCTGCGGGCAGCTTCGCAACCCAGCGCTCAACCGCTGCGCCACCGGGGAGGCCCTGTCATAGCTTACTCTTTTTGACAGTATAGTTGCTTCCAGATTTTTTAAATATTTTAAATATGCTGCAATGAGCATGACTTTAAAGATTTTTTTTGGTGCATGTCTAAATAAATTTTCTCAAAAAACTGCCCATCTTATACTCTTATGAGCACGAAGTACCCACACCCCTGCACCCTGGCCAGAGGATCATTACTGTGTGTTACCATTTTATATCCATCCATCCATCCATCCATCCATCCATCCATCCATCCATCCATCCATCCAGTCTGTCAGTTTGCTAGGCACAAGAATTCTTTCAACAAGTGTTCTATTCCTCACGCTACCTCTCCCTTGGACATGATAAGCGTCTTTTCCCATGTTTCTTATATTTTTCTACTTCATTTCTGTCCACGTGACTCGCTGAGGGGGGTGGGGGTTCAGTCCCCCAAGAGAAGGAGGTGACGCCGCAGCCAGGACAGCTCACCTCGCAGCTCCGAGTGAGAACCGGCACGCACGACCCCCTTCCCAGTCGGGCCACCTGGGAGACTCCAGGCAGCAGAGGGTGCTCTGGAGCCGGCGACCGGGCCCGCCCCCAGTGCTGTGCACCGCGCCCCCGTGACGTATTTCCGCGTCATCTGCCGCCGAGGCTCGTTCCTATTGGCTGTTGGCGAAGCCACGGGGGCGGGGCCGACTAGGTGTGTGGAAAAAGCTGCCGCCTCTGCTGGGGGCGGGGCGAGGCTTTCCCTGTCCCCGCCCCTCCCTCTTCCCCGCCCCCTGGCCCCTCCCAGGGACCGCTGCGCGGAGCTGCCCGGAGCGCGGCGCCCGCGGCGACTGCACTTTCCCGACAGTAGCTGGCTCGGGGCTCGGGTGCGCGCGCGGCGGGGCTGCTGGAACCTGAGGGCTCAGTTGACTGAGGGAGAGTGGGAGGGAATCCCGGGTGGCCGCGCTGCGCCAGCGGGGAAGCCCTTCGGTTCCCCAGCCCCCGGCGAGTGGGGCGGGGGCCCCCCGAGACCGCCACCGGCCCCTGGCGCAGGCGGGACGCGCGGGGCGCCCCTTCGAAGGCAGCCCTCAGGCTCTCCGCCCCGACTCGGCCGGGCGCAGCGGGCGCGGGGCAGCGCAGAGGGAGGAAGCCAGAGGGGCCGCCCTCTCCTCGGAGTTGGAAGCGCCTCTCCGGGTCCAAAATGCCCAAAAAGAAGCCGACGCCCATCCAGCTGAACCCGGCCCCCGACGGCTCCGCGGTTAACGGGACCAGCTCGGCGGAGTAAGTATGGGGTGGGCGGCGAGCGCCGGGCCGGGCTGGGGAGGCCCCCGCTGGGGCGCAGGAGCTGAGTCGGGTGTGCGCGGCGCGCGGGGCTCGGCTCCGGTTCGTCACGTACGGCTCGGGCGGGCAGAGGCGAGGAACTCCGGTCGCCGAGATATCGGTGACTAAGCACTGATTGTGCTCCTGACTCAGACCAGGGGACCGAGAGAGTCTCGACCCCCCTCCACCCCCAGGCCCGACCCTTTCAGTCACCCCTGGCCGCCGGCCATTCCCTTTTCCCCAAGGATATAAAAACTGGTTTGTCTTCCCCGCCCTCCCCAGCTGTTTTCTAAAAGCGATCCTCAGGGATTCTGGCCTATACGGAGAGAAGGGAGCAAACGTCTTGGAAAAAATTAAGATTTCATCTGCGTCTCTGAGACCGACTCATAGTGGGGAGCGTGGAGTCAGAGCCCGCGGGCAGCATCCTCACCTGGGTTCCTGACACCTGTGGGCTGCAACTGCCTCGGTGCGGGCCGCTGCCCGGCCAGCGGGGGCGGGTGTGCACAGACTTCCCGGTGGCTGTTTCTTTGCCAATTGGGGGACTCCCGGCCCTTGTCCTTCCTTCTGGGAAACTATCTTGTTTGGAAGAGAGCGGCTTTCCTCTTCTTCATTGACTTCATTCATTCATTCAAGAAATCACTCCTCACCAATGACTCTCTGCCTCTCCTTGACCCTGAGCCCTAAACCCCTGAACTCCACTGCCGTGGAAACCACACACAAGCTGCATCCCTGCAGCCTCCTGTGAGCATAAACCAGCACTAATTCACTAAATAACGATGACGCTGTTTCATAGGGGTTTCTGAAGTCTCACAACTCTTTCAGGTCCGTGTAAGGGACAAGGCTGTATGTGGGAGGGAACCCGCTATCTGGAGAAATAAAATCAGTGAAGACTAGGTTCTTAAACTTTTACCTGGACTCTGCATTCTGGAAACTAGGAAGCTAGCTGATGAGATGAATAAAGTAGACCTGGCCCTTCTGCCCTTTGCTGATCTCTATAACCTTCCTTCCTTTTTCTACATTGAATAGCCTGGGGACCGTTTGGCTTGGTGACTCTTGTCTGTCTCTGTAATGATGGAAAGACTGATGGTAGACTTGTGGTGTGAGCTCAGACCTCCTCCCATCAACCCTCTTCAATATTGTGGTGTCTGTTTTGCATGATATTGACTTGTACAGGTCACTGGATTGCTTTGTAAAACATTAGTTCAGTTTTATTGTATTTTGTCCACTTAAAACAAACTGAAAACCCCCCAGGGCAGGGGAGTAAGTCTTCAGTAACCGTCAATGTTTTCAGGACAAGTTTTGATCACAGGACGAATATTAGTGACCTGGTCATCCTGCTCCTGTTTAATTTAGAAGGTGCATAGTAGACGTGCTTATTTTTTTTTACTAATTGTGGCAGCACAGCTGTATTCTTGCAAAGGGGAGGAATTTCATTTAAAAAAAGAACAGGGAGGATGAGAAGAAACTATTCTGGAGTTAGTGGCAGAAGAATTTGGGTGGGACTGGGAGATTCTGAACAGTGGTTAAGAGGTTGGACTCTGGAATTAGTCTAAGATTGAAGCTTGGCTGTTACTCATGGCTTGTGTCTTGAAACAAGCATCTCAGTCTCTCTGTGGCTAGGTTTAGTTTTTTCATGTGTGAAAATGGGACTAATAATAGAATTAACAGGGTAGTTGTGAAGATTAAATGAGCTAATACATAGTAAGCCTCCCATAAATGTTAGCTTCTGGTACTTTTGTTACAGGGTAAGTGTTGATAAGACTGAAGGAAAGTGGAAGGTCATCTCCATTGATGGTGGTGAATGTGTGTGTGAAGGTGCCTTTGCTTCTGCATAAATGATTCTCCCTAGGTTAGTTTTTCATGCCATCTGCATCTACCTCCATGACTCACTGTGTTACAATAGGAGGCATCTTTGTGTAGGCTGCCTGAGACAAACAGGAACTGTTCCCCTACATTTCCTGGCACTAATGGGGAGAAAGCTGTACACATCTTCATCTTTCACCCTCAAGAGTGTTTCTCAAGCACCTGATGCTATTCTCCTGATTTTTGTGATTAGGACATAATTTGGGACATTATCATACAGAGTAAAAAAGAGAAAAAAAAATCCATTGAGCATAAATAACTCTTGGAACTGAATTGGTAAGGGTGCTTCTCTGTGGCTCCCTGGCACCTTGGTATTTTAATTCTAACATAGCCCTTGCCCTGCTCATTGAGTAGAGTCACACGGTACTTTACGCTTACGCAAGTTCTAGAGGGGGGAGGGGTCTTTGAAGATAAATGCAAAATATTTTTTTTCAAATTTTGTAAAAGCATGTGGCCATGTTGCATGGGTTCTAAGTGTGAGAATGATTATTAATTGGAAATAAGATAATATCATTCCCCTATTTAAAATATTTTCATGGTCCTGTTACAGTTAAAATAAGATCCAAATCCCTTATATCAGACTGTGAGATTCTGAGTGATCTACCCGCCATGGTCCCCCCAACCCCCATCTCTTTAACCTCACTTCCTGCTGTTCCTTTCTTCTGCCACACTGGTACTCTTTCACTTCCTCCATGGCATGCTCTGAACTCTCTCCAGGCCCTTACATATGCTGTTCCCTTAGCTGGCATGAATCATCCCTTCCTTTCCCAAGCTAGGAAGGAAGCAATCTTCACCTCTGCTTAAATGTCATTTCCTCGTTGATGCTCATAGATCACCCAATCTATGGTAGGCTCCTTTTTCTTTCACCTGATTTTTAAATGACAGTTATTCGCTGTCTGTAATTTTTCACTTGGGTGATCTTAATGTCTGTTTCTCCCGTATACCATAAACTAAAAATTCACTGTCCTGTAAGTAGTACCTGGCACATAAGTACACAAATGTTTGTTGAATGATTCAATGAAATTTCTAATATTTGCACATGTTTTTAGCCTTTTATATGCCTTTTCATTTTTTTCTTGTTTTTCCTTTTTTCCTTATTTCCTTCCCTGCTTTTTTCACAGGCAGTCACCTTGTAACTCCACCCATTTGTTTGGATATGTGTGTACTTTTGGGAAGTAGATAGTATTGTTTTGTGTATTGCTGAAGGTATTAAATACTGTTGTGTATTCAGCCTTAAAAAAAGGAGCTCCTGCCATTGGTAGCAACATGAACCTGGAGAACATTATGCTTAGTGAAATAAGCCAGATACAGATAGAAAAGCACTGCATGATCTCATACGTGGAAACTGAAAGAGCCCAATCCCCTCCCTGGTGGCACAGGGGTTAAAGACAGCGCTACCAAGCTATTGCCAGCCACTGCAGCACAAGTTCCATCCCCGGCTGGCCCGGGAGCAAACCCACATGGTACACAGACCTCTCCTGCCTGGCTCGCTGCTCCCCTCAGCAGTGTGTTTCAGTAGATCTACCTGTTCTGCTCCCCACTCTCTCTGGTGAATCCTCTCAAACCCCCCTCACCCCATACTTTTGGCTTATACCCCAGGTCTTGTATGCATAAATAAATAAATCTTAAAAAAAAAAGATTTTTTTTTAAAGCCCAATGCATAAAAGCAGTAAAAGGTGATTATCAGAGGTGGGGAGAGGGGGGAATAGGGAGATGTTGGTCAAAAAGTAGAGTTGCAGCTATATAGGATGAATAAGTCTAGACCTCTGAAGAACAGCGTGATGACTATAGTTAATAATACTACATTGTATACCGGAAACTTGCTAACAGTACATTTCAGATGTTCTTACTATACTCATATGAACGGTAACTCTGTGAGGAGATGGATATGTTAATTAGCTTAACTGTGATATAATCATTTCATCTATAGCAAAACATCATACAGTAGACCTTATAGATACTCAATTTTTATTAAAAAATACAATGGTGATATAAATCTGTATCTGTTAGGATAGTCTGGGTAACAGCTACCCATAGAGTCTCAGTTTAAAACACTTGCAGGTTAGTGAGAGGCTTTATTGACTGGAGTCTATCAGGTGCCCGTCCATGAAATATGCTTACGTCAGAAAGGAAAATTGTGAACCACATTCTGGCTTTTAAAGTTTAAGCCTAGAGGGCCTCCCTGGTGGCTCAAGGGGTTAAGCTCCGCACTATGAAGCAACCCACAGCCTCTGCAGCACAAGTTCGAACCCTGGCCTTCTAGGGAACAACCCACATGGCGAGGCAGACCCGCTACTGTCTCGCTGCTGCTCCTCTCAGCAGTGTTTTTCAGTCAGTCTGCCTGTTCCGTTCCCCACTCTGTCTCTGGTGCATCCTCTCACCTCCTGCATCTCTGGCCTGTACCCCAGCTCTGGTATGCATAAATAAATAAATCTTAAAAAAATTTATATAAAAAAAATTAAGTTTAGGCCTAGAAATGTCACATATCACTTTTGCTACCATTTCATTGGCATAAGCAATTCACATGGCCTTGCTGACTCTCAAAGAGGATTGACCTTCTGGGAAGGAGGAGAACCAGGAATATTTGAACAGAAGCAATGACCACCCCAAAATTTGATTTTGATGTCTTAATCTTCTTTTGTATTTTTTAAGTCAAGCACCATGCTGTGGAATTCTCTTCATGATGCTATGTGTGTGTCTAGTTCATTAGTTCTCTTGGTTACAGAGCAGTCATGTGCTTGTATCACATTTTACTTATTTATTCCTCTAGAATTAGACAACCTAGGTTGTTTCTGACCTCCTGCTGCCTTAAACAGCATGACCGTAACCAACTTTATGCTAGGCTCCTTTGGGACCCTTGTGAGAATTTACTGTGATATAGTCTGGAGTGGGACAGTCTTCTAGCACCTTACCTCTCTTTCTAAGAGAGGAGACACATGCTTTATCTCTTTGCTTTTTAAACACTTTTTCAGCTTTGTTTGAGAAAGCCTGCGCACCTAGTAAAAATTGCAGCAGCAAATACAGGGTACTTCCCAGGACCTTATTTTTTTTCCTTTGACCTTAGACAAGAGTGCAAAGAGGCCTTTGTACTGTCTGAC